TTTTTTAAATTTATAGTATAAATTAGTTTTTCAGTTATATTATTTATTTTTTAAATTTTAATATTTTTATAATATTATTATAATTTTTTTTAATTTTTTAATTTTATCATATATAAACAAAATTTGTTATGAAAATTTCTTTTTTAAAATTTATTTATTTACATAATTTAATGTACCAAAACCCTTTAATTTTTATGAGTACCATAGTAGTTCCCTTTAAATAATTAGTTTTAGCGTCACTATATTTTAGTCGTGCTCAATGCATGCGCCCATCTAAGAAACTTTTTCGATCCTGTGTGACCAGCTTATCACTACATATCACATGGTTCCTCCGCAAACTAACCCTTCTTGTGGTAAGAAAATTATGAGTGTTGAATATTAAAATAACCAGTCATATATACATAGAGTTATAACAATAGCCATAGTGCAATATATAGAATTTACAAGACATGATGATGAATACTTGTTAACCAAAGAAAAAAAAAGAGAAAAATTACCAGAAAAACATGAGAAAACCTAGTGTGGTTGCTAGTGAAATAGGGAGCATTGAGACATCCTAGATATAACGTACGTCTGCTCCATTTTAATTAGAACCAAATCAACATGAACATTCTCTGCCATATGATCCATTTTTCTTAATGCATGGATATATATAGACACCTGAAGATTGCTGATAAAAGGAAGAGATATGTAATACTAGCTACATTATTGCACTTAAAAATCAGCATAGCCGCTTGTTTCTTCGTGGTTAGGTGAAGAGACCTCTACAAAGTTATTGGAACTTGAAGAAGACGAGGATGTAGAAGAATGTATAGGAGCTGGAGCTGAATTTTGAACACTCAAAAAATCAAAGAATCTTGGCTGATCCACCTGAACAGAATTCCTCATTGTATTGTTCTTCCTGGGAGCAGTAGAGTTGTCACCACTTTCTTTACTTCTTTTCTTCATGGACATGCGACACAGAACCCAATCCCCTATCTCGTTTGCATAGTTCTGCCAATCCAAAAGCATTTGACAAATAAATATATAATTATTTTTTTAAGAATTATACATATCTTAATATCTTTCTCATGTTTATTTTCTAATATATTTTTTAATGATTAACCATGTTATTATTCACTTAGTCTATAACTATATAGTTTTTGTTTTCTAGTAGAGTCTCTCTAAAAAATTTACAACTCAAATTATAGAAACAATTGAAATTTACCTGGGATGAATTGGAAGCATCAGATTCTAAGCTGACGAGTCGATATTCATGCATGACCCAATCAGTTCGAGACCCATTTGGAGATTTCCCTTCGTAAAATACTAGAGTTTTTCTCACCCCGGCAATGCCATTATTACTTATTGATGATGAAATTTTTTTGTCTGATCCTGTTGCCTTCCAATATCCAGAGTTAGTTGTTCGGTTCATGCGATTTCCGTTTCGATACTTCGTTTCCTTGGAGCTGAAAAAGTACCTCTCTTGCTCATCACAATTTCCTAAGTATATACACCAAAACAGTCAAGTTATAATTGCATGCATGCAATAAACTATACTACAACATTTTCATTGATTAGGGCATGTTAAACGATTGATCGATTACTCTGATCTTTTTCGTTTGGTTTGGCTCTAATTGTATTTTTCCCCCCTCATCTCAATGCCTGCGAAATTAAGCTGGCTTAAGATTGAAGTTGCACTAGTCTCTTGTGTATATATATATATATATATGTATAAATTAATAATCAAAGTCTAGACAACGTAATTGGTCAATAAAGGTTTAAATACTTTAATACCATATCATGCGACAGCCATATATTCTGAAAACTTACGCATTAAGTAAAAGAAATACTAATAATTATGTTACACCTTTAGAATCTTCTTCATATCTATTATTTCTTAAAAAATCTTTTCTTGAAAAATAATATAAAAAATTGACATGTGACATGTTTGGAGGAGTACTATACACCAATGTGTTAGAGATTTTTTATTTTAAGTGTTCTAGATATTCTATGCTAATTCTATATCTACGATAGATTTCAATGATATAACATGTTTATATATTTTATAACATATCAACATTTAATATAGAAAATTCATTTTTAATGACGGATGATTAATATCTATCATAATATGAATAATAAATGTAATGTTTTAATTACATCGACATCTATATTTTATGATAGGTGTGACTAAAGGTAAGTTTGGTACCTGGAAAATCCCAAGGATCATACTTGCTGACATTGATCTCAGGAATGATTGAAGCAGGTAACTGGCACGAGAAGATCTTACACTTCAAGTACTGAAACACAAGCTCTTCATCAGTTGGCTGGAAACGAAATCCGGGAGGCAATCTACTCATTCCATTTTTGATAAAATTTAGCCTTTCCATTTGCTTAAGTCTTCCTCTTTAAACTTGGAATTTTGGCCAACTCTAAGTGAAGCTGATGATGACAGGCACATTAATGAATGATTGTACTTACATTTATATGGGTTAGGAATGAGAAAAGCTGGTTGAGGGAAGAGTTGAGAAACAAACATGTAAAGTTGACAATACTTAACGAGCTAAATTTTATATTTGACAAATAATTTAAACAAAAGTTCTTATCAGCGTTATAAAGATCTTTTTCTTTGCCTTTTCTATATATGCCTGAAGTTTTCTATCGTAATAAAGTGATTATACATCTACCGGATGTGAGTTTAATTCACTATTCGAATTCGGGTCGGATATTTGGATAACAAAGTTTTTGTCATTAAATTTTAACATGACTATGCTTTCTCCCGTTACTGACTCGGAATTTTATGAATAAAATCCTCTATCTGGTGTCCTTATCAATGAACTGATACTACTCGCACGATTTTTTGTCGCCAATTTGTTCATCGTATATGCAGTGACAAGTCAAATGAGTCTTATAACCTCTCCGATGCTACGCCGCTTATGGAATTCAATTCACTTCGTCTTTGGCACATTACTGTTTGGAACATCATACGAATAGTAAATATAGAAGTTAATTTCATAAGTTATGGTTAAATATATATATACCAGTACAAAAGACGTAATTTACGTCAGTTATTTTAAGTTTTTTTACGTTAGAAAAATGTTCGGCGTTAATGCAGGAGACGTAAATTTACGTTAGTTAATTTTGAAAACTGACATAAATTTACGTCGGACATTACCAAGGTCTGATGTAAAAAAATAGTAAAAAAATAAAACTAAAAACATAATGAGTGCAAGCAGAACGACCCATTCTGTTTGGAGAACGAGTCATTCTGCATGGAGAACGAGTCGTTCTGCTTAGAGAACGGGCCGTTCTGCTTGATAGAACAACCAAGAAAAAAGGCCAACAATCCAAACAAATAGAATAACCAAAAAATCGAATAGAACAGATAGCCACAATAGCAATGCGAAGCAAAAAAATGTTAGCGAAACCCTGATTCTTACTTGATAAGTCGCAATAGTGTGCGAATGAGTAACGAAGAATTCACCCCACTTTGTAGAAGATAAAAAAATGATTCAGCAACAAAGGAGAGGGAGAGGGTACAGAGAAGAATTTAAAAAAGTGATGATGAGATCCGAGTCAGTGAATGCATGCGGGTGTGCCTCCCACTCTCTTATTCGCTTTCGCGTCTTTTTTTTTACGTCGGACCCTACCAGGTCCGATGTAAAAAAGTTCACAAAAATTATAAAAATGTCACCGCGTCTTTTTTACACCAGATTTTAGTGTATCTGACGTTAAAGAGGTGACGTAATATACTAATTTTTTACTAGTGATAATAAGTTAATGTTTCGTACCATATATATACAATAATCTTTAATATTTTATTCTTCACATTCTTTAAAACATGGCTGTTGGTTACTTCCTTCTTAATAGGAGTAAATATGTCCTTTGCTTGAGGATAATGTTTTCAACTTGAAAATATTTTTATTTTCATGAGGAAGTTATTTTTAATATGATTTATTGTTAGTCTAGATTCAATCTATTATCCTTACAATAATTATATGAATATATTCATTATCTTTTATATGAAAGTATTTTTTTTTGAATTTTGTGATAATCATAACTCTATAAAAGAAGTGTATTTCTCTTCCTTTGAGATACTGAATTTATTTTTATCTATACAACACCATCTAAGAATGAAGGTCTAAAACTTTATTTTTATCTATAACCTACAACACCATCTAAGAATGAAGGTCTAAAACTGTTTTAAAGAGATTTAGAATAATAAATCATAATAGTTGGAGCTTGGTCCTTCTTGATTTTTTTTTCTTCCAATGTGATCTAAATATGTTAATTTTAATCTGATTAACATGCTTAGATCAATATATAATGTCTAACAAGTTTCATCCTTGATAAGAATACTGGCCATACTTCAGCCAAGCAAGGCCACAAAACTAGTAAACTTATTTGTTGTGCTCTCCCAAAGCCTTTGTTCACTTGCATATAAAATTGAAGAGCAATGCTATGTACAAGTCGAAAGGTATTCTGATACAACGTCCAAATTTTTTTTTTTATAATAATTTGGAAGAAATTTCGGCGTCTTCTTTCGGAGGATTAATCAGCATTTTCCAAAATCGAATGGCCAATGTTTGGTTATGGCACTAAGACACAAAGTCAACTCCTTCATTTGTGTGACACTTTTACCATTTTTCAAGTAGACTAATTATCTTTTCCACCTTGTGAGTGGTACCCGATAAATTATCTGTATGTCTTGAAAAATACACACATAAGTAAGGATAGTTAAAAAAAAAATTTAATTAAAATAACAAATTAATAAAAACTAAAAATTATGAACAATATTTAATATAAACATAATTGATTTGATAATATTATCTTTGATTTTAATTATAAGTAACAAATTATTTTTTTATTCTAATTATTAGCAACAATCAATATCCTTAATTTATTTTAACTCTATTTCTTAACAACTAATTTAATTACTCTTCTTAACATTTGATAATTTGTTTTATGTTACTTATAATTAGAATCAAATTTGGTATTGTCAAGTTGGAATGTTCCTCACCCTTCATGAAGGTTATCACATGTGGCATACGTATCGTCTACTTCATTATCTACATTCAAAGTATGCATGCCATCTTTTGTTAGTAGAATTAGTGACATAAAGCACTTATTTTGCTTGAGAAGTCATGATGTATGACACTTCTTTAGAACCTATCTTCTCAAGATCAACCAAGGTAAAACTTAGATAATCAATTTTGCCAGTATTATTGTCAACTCACTTACATTTTAAAAACATGCATTCTAAAACTAGTATAATCAATCACCTATATGTCTTTGATAACTCCAAAGTAACATAAAGGTGTCATAATAGGATACTCATCTTTTTGAATTTGAGAAATACGTTGACTCAACCACGACCATAAACCCAATTATTTTAAATGGTACTTTCCTCATTTTCTGATTTTGTATTATAAAATGAAAACTTGTTAATATCATATCCACCTCATCGTATGACATCAAAGTTAGGTTCACTTGCTAGCAATTTCAATGTATCATAATTCAAAAGGCGTATTGTCATTTTCAATTTATTCTTTGAACAAAGTCGAGAAAGTCTTGTTATGCTTATTAATCACCCATTTTATTTCAAGCATTCACATGTTATTTTTCTTCACAATGCCTTTGTGTGCAATTAAGTAAAGGACAACTTCATTAGTATTATTTACTACATACAAATATGCTTAAAGAACTTCTCCTCATCGCAAGGTCATAATCTTTACACCATGTGTACTCTTATTAACAATTCTTCCATCATGACGAGACTTATGAACTTCTATAGCTTCAACTTCCAAAATGTATGTATCTTGTATAGAACTCAATAGTTTCCTCTACAATATACTTTCACAAATGGATGCTTTTGAATAATGTTAGTTCTTTATATGCTCTTTTAATATATTGCTCAATTGAGTACATTCACTATAAGAAAATCAAATCATAGAACCTAGCTTGTCTCACTAAATGAACAATTAAGTGAACCATGATATAAAAAATGGAGAAAAATATTTCTTTAGCCGACACAAGATAACAACAACCTCATTCTCTAATTGGTCCAACTTTTGAGGGTCAATCCCTTTATTACCTATTGCATTAAAGAAGAAGCACATAATTTGGTTATAGCATATATAATATTCTTAGGCAATATGTCCCAAATAGCCAACAATACTAACTATTACATCATGATAATCATGAAACTTTACAGAAACCCTATGGCACCTTCACATCTTATAGATACTCACAAAAAAATTTCTTCATTATTTTAGACATTTTATAATATGCTAGTGGTAAATATATTCATTTACCATGAGATTGTGGGGTTAATTATTCTCTTATACCCATATCAAGTAAATGTAAATGAATGTTGACATCATCTTTTGTTTTCCCTAATTGTTGAGAAGTGCTCTAATAACATTGTTACACACGTTTTTTTTACATGCATCACATTTATGTAATGTCTTACATTAGGGTTTAGGGTTTAGGCAGACTCCAATATGGAAGATCAAAGAAGATTGATCTTTTCTTCCATGTGTTTTTTTTATGGGTTGCTTTCGTGTCTTTCCAAAACGTTTAAGCCTTTTATGCGTTCAAAAACTTGTGCTCCAATTAAGACAATCGTAGCTACTTCATTGTCTCAACATCTATTAAAAACTTTCTTCAACAAAACAAATGATTAAAACTAAGAAATTTCTAATATCCAAGATAAGCTATTTTAATTTCATTAATTTCTTGTTAGTGACATGTGTCCTCTTCACATATAGGACATGCTTGTGTGTCCTTTAATACTACCCACTCAAGTTTTCATATGGTGGAAAACAACTAATTTTGCAAAATACCATTAGACACTACTTGAAATAATCATTTGATAACCAACAAACTCATCCATGACTTCCTCCCACTACATCCTAAAGTCCATCTGTATTAGGAATGGGACAACCCCTTCGGCCAGGGGATAAACCGAATAACCCCAACACGTGAAGACGAGGAAGCCAGGAAGAAATTGATTGATGAAGCAACACGTAAACTATTCGGCTATGGTGCAAACCAAATACCCATCCGGCCTTGACATGACCCGAGCATACATTCGGTTAAATCCTAGAACCTCACCATAGTATCACTTGAACCAAGAAAAGACACTTCGGGTAGGACACCAACCGAATACCTATGTGGGCGTGGCACAAGCCGAGCACGTACTCGACCAACAAAGAATAAGTTATCCTCACTGATTAATCTGACTCACGTTAATAGTAAATTAAATAATAAACACCCACGTCATCATGAATTAAGATTTAATTTATTAATTATCGAAGTCAGAATCAAGAAAGCCCATCAGACCCAAATATGTTACTATAAATAGAAGACTGATGGAATAGGAAAGATAGGTATGATCATTTAATACTACTGCATTTATTGCTATAAACCGAACACTTACTTGAACGTTGGGGTACCTTTGTAGGTACCCAC